TTTTTACTTTAAACACGACGATATCTACAATTATTTCTAAATGTTTATATTATATATCTTTATACATAAACATATATTTATAGTTATACGTATAACTATACACATATTTATACATGCATATTGATAAAGAAAGGCAATGCAAAAATGATGTTTGATGATTATTGATAAGATTATGGTTTTATGGTTTATGCCTTTTTATAGCCAGTCTGTTAAAGAACAAAGTATCTAGATCTCTTTGTACCATCTAAAGTTACATATACAAAGGAATAAACTTTCTTTTTATTGAGATTAGGATTCTGCTTATTAAGTGAAATATTTTATTTACAAATTTAATTGCCCTGTCTTTCTTACAGGGGTGGGGAACTCCAATTGTGTTTCTGAGATTCCTCTTGCAGGAATCAAAGCTTTTCCTGAAAACTGCAGAGAGCAGAGAGCGCATTATCTTCACACTAGCTAACAGCATGAATTTTCTCCCTAAATTCTCTTTTGCTCTTTCCTTTGAATTATCAGTAAAGTGACTTGGCTTATCTCTGAAAATAACTTTGTTGACAACACAAATAAGGACTTAAACATGCTACCTCCACACTGAAGATTTAAGAAGCCCCCAGTAAATGTCAGGGGGTATCAATGTGTTTGCTGTGATACTTGGTTATTATTAGTGTTTAACTGCAATTTCCCACTAGCGCCCTGCTGCCAGCACTACCATAAATTTTAATGTGATCATGTGCTCTTCTCTTTTCATATCCAGTGAATTCTGCAAGATCATAATATTCTATATGAACCTTCACTGAACCTTAGTGTGAGATGAAGAAAGAACAAGATTTCTAGCAGTGATAGATGTTCATCATTTTATAGTTGTTGTTATTTTAAAAACTGGACACTGAGCAACATGGTTCCCTGAATAATATTACCCTAAAATAAATTCACTCATTCAATTCATTGTTCCTGAGCCCCTACAGGATGCAGGGCATGCCCCAAAGTGCTAATGAGTACATTTATGGGACAGTAAAGAATTCTGACTCTTAAGGAAATCTTCCCCACCCCCTCTTGGAAAAATCTGTCAGAGCTCCTACATCATTTATAAAACCAAAAAATGTCTTTGCAACCTTGGCACCTCTATTTGCCTTTTACTTTATAGAATACAAACAAAACACAGCCACTTCCTGTGTCTGGTGTGCACTGTGAATGTAAACAATTTGCTTATCATCTTTCACTGTGTGTGTGCTTGATGGAATATTTATTCCACAGCCCTATAATTATCATTCATTGTCAGGATTTTATTCCTTTTTAACTACAAATAGTAACTGGTACTGCACACTGTATTTATCGAAGGAATTAAAAGCATTTGGTATATTTTAGCTTCCTAAATAACTCTTTTAAGACAAAGAGTAATTATTGAAATGTTCATTTTGCTAATTTGAAATTTCAGATCAGAGGGATTAATAGAGTTCCCAGTAAACTAAATTCCCACCACTTCATTTCAAATTGCTTATCTTACAAAGGGTTTTTGTTTTTATTTAATTTCTAAAGGAACAAAAACTGCTTTATTACTTAGGCATACACTTGCACACTTTCACCAAACACAGTTCCAAGCCAGTATATTTGCTTTTCATGTTTAAACTGATTTTAGGGTTAATGGGTAGGAAGCTGGTGTGTAGATCCATAATTTTCTTGTCCTGTTGTACATGGTGTCAAAATTTTTGCCCATTAGTGATACACAATTATGCATTTTCCATTACTAGAGAGAGACAATGGGCTTTGGGAAATACCCAACCACTGATTTAAGGTCGCACGGACATTATTCATTTTGACATTAGCACTGTCAATTAGAAAACAAGATCCACCCTGATAGCAAGGGACCGTCTCATCTTCTCAGGCAGATTGACTTTACTTTTAAGTTTTTTTTTTTTTTTTTTTTTAATCTTTCCTGCATGGCATATGGATGCCTCAGTATCTCTTGTTCTTGAAGAAAAGAAACACTTTCAGGAAAGGTTTGTAAGTTGTTCGCACCCTCCCGCCCCTCGCCATTTTTCCCCTTTTTAAGGCAACTGCAGGAGAAACTTTGCCTTGGAACGCCATCTAGAGGAAAATTCGGTACATAAGCGCTATGCTTTCTTTGCTTTCGGACCCAGGCTCTAGTCAGTGGTTTATACCATTATTTATATTTTTCTTCTTCAGAATCATAGAAAATTTGGATTTCAAATCAACACATAGAAATGGAATATGAGTATCACTGACAAAAACAAAATGAAACAGTGAAATACCAGATAGTTTTCAGAAGCACTGGGAACAATAAATGTCCATTCATAGTAATAAGTAGGTTATCATTTTGCCATAGACCATATTTTAGAAATTAAAACTGATGAGTAAATTATACTCATTTTCCTCTTCACTGATCAAGTAATTTTGTTATTTCTGTAATTATTTTCTTAGAAAGTTCTGATTAACCAGATTGCCTATAAGTTGGAAAAGATATTAAGGTGACATTTTAAACTTATTGTGCCCTTCCTTCTTCAAGTTCAGCACAAATTTAATGAGCACAAAATAATATTCTTTCCAGATGTGGTTCTTTAATCCAATGTGAGGGAAAAAAAATAATAGTCACCAATGTATTCTTTCCAAAGCCATGTTTTGATTTTGTAGTCTCCCTCCCCTCAGTAATGTAGAGAACTTTAACAGCTATTTCTCATCTTTTTGCACAAGAAAGAATACAAAAACAAATTCCCGATGTGCTCCCACAGAGACACTCTTCAAGGCTGATGAGCAGACTTGCAAAACAACCCTACCTTTGAAATATTCTGACAGTATGACTCTCCCCATGGTGATGACATTGTCTTTGAGTTCTAGTTTCTTCAACTTGTTGAGAAGGATCAAGATTATCCATATCATAAAAACATTCACTGAAGAAAACTGAATATGTATTTCATTCTTCTCCTGAGTGTCCACTTCTACCCCTCTGTCCTTGCCAAGCTTTCTCCAGTCCAACTGTTTTAAGGCTTGTCATAAAAATTTATCTCTGTCCTTGACATCTCTAACTCACAATGCCTTAGCCATTCCTTTTTTCCTTTGCTGAGTAAGGTTCCTGCTTAACTTATTTTGGAAATTCACAATAAGCTAACAGGTTCTTCAAAATGATTTCTGTATTGAACAGCTTCTCTGGGTCAGACATGAACTATGCACACAGAAAATGATTCCTTGTCGACTGAGATCTGATATGGAAAAACAAAATGAAACTAGCTCATTGTTTTCTTGGACCAATATTCACACTCTAACAATGAAGTCTTGCAGGCAGCTCACACCAGCATCCTCTTCCCCTTGACAGGATGAATACTTTGATAGTGCATGTTACCAAGGACTGAGATAGTCTGATTCTTCCAGGTCAGTTGGCCTCCTCCTTAAGCAGTTAAAGACATGCTCCCTATACTTCCCTCCACCCCACACAAAAAGTCTCCAAGCATAAGAGAGCAGAACTTTTTGTTCCATCTTCTTATACTATATGTACATTAGATTCCAATCAATCCAATCTGTGTTTATTAAAAAGCCTACCAACTTTACAATAGAGCACAAGGTGCTGATAAGGTCCTTTAGAAATTGTTGTTGTTGTTAAGTGCCGTTGAGTCAGTTCCAACCCATAGCGACTCTGTGTAGGGTTTCCAAGGAGTGACTGGTGAGCTCGAACTGCCAATCTTGCAGTTCAAACAGCTTTGCAGTCTGGTACATTAACCCACAATGCCACACCAGGACTCCTTCAGAAACTGTTGTTGAATAAATAAGTGAATGTTCTTGAAAGAATAAGAATTTATCTCTTAACTTAAGCAGCTTTTCCTATAGGAGAATAAGAGTTTTGTAATTTAAAATATATAGCAGAAAGATAGATGTGTTATATTAGCTACAGTGCAGAGAAATAAGTAATTATTGATGCTTGGGGAGAAAGAAGAAGACTTCATGGAATAACTGGTATTAGATCAATGCTTTAAAAGATAAGTAAAATTTTAATAGGCAGAGCACAGTGCAGAGTATTTCATGGGGAAGGAACAGAATAGGTTCATTTAGTTAGACCAAAGGAAAATGTTTGTCACTTGGAGTTACCTGTATGAAGTTAAACTTTAATCTGAGTGCAAACAATGCAAGGTATTTGGATTTATGTTTTGGAATCCAAAACATAATGTATGAAATATATGTATGAGGGAACTTCAAAGAGTTTGTGGAAAAATGGAGTTAAATGGCAATAGAATTTTTTTTGAACTTTTTGAAGCTTACACACACACACATGATCCCATAAAGCCAACATATTTTTAAGTCAGAAAGCATTTTAGTTTATGATATCTTAATAGTTTAAGTGGAAATAGGGTCAAAGCAAGGCTTATTTTTGCCAGTAAAGAAGGGTAAGTAGAAGATTTTGCTTTAATCTTTGCCAAAACAGTTGCTTTTAGATTGAATTCCAAAGCTTATCCCTGGCAGACTGCCCTAGCTCCCTCAATAAAACACATCAATGACCTTCACTGAGTTACAACCCCTAGGGCAAAGATTTTAAGGCTTGTGGGCCCCTAACCCTGAGAACACTCACTCTTGCCCACTTTCTTTCCTTTGTCCTCTGTAGGCAGCTAAGCATGCTCTCAGATTTCTGTGTTCCTGTGGATAATGTTGACACCTCCATACCTGGGCTTTCCACCAGCCTAGAGATTCTTATCCAGTGCTCTCTTTGTTCTGCTCCTCATGCTCACTGCCTTTGCAAAAAGCTTACTCTGATATCCCAAGCATTTCTTCTGTGAAAGAACCAGTTTCCTGAGATAAACTATTGTAAAGAGGCTTGAGCCATCATTCCAAGGCTATTCCTACTTCAATGTGTCAGTAATTTTACACCTTTAAAGCTTAGACATGTACACTCTCGTAACCAGGGCAAGTACGTTCTCATGTCACACAGATCACACGGCAATTGTCAGAGAAATGGAAGCATGAAGGGGAAGGCCCATGGATCCGTAATCACTGAACACACTTACTGTGAGCATGGCGAACATCAGTTGGCATACATTGAAGGCATGTCTCCAGTTGTGGTACAGGACCATGCGATAGTTTTTCCTCACTGTCAAAAGCCACCTACACAGTGTCTGCAATGAGAGGGGAGAGGTTGTGTCATGGCAGTGTATGTGTCTCCAGTGGACTATTATCAACACGTAAGCTTACACCTGAGTAGCCACCTTCAATGATCAGTCCTTCCACAACACAACATTTTACAGGATAATCCCAGTCATCCTGTAAGGTGCCCAGGGACAGTATTATCATTCCCATTTTGTATTTGGGAGATTGGAGGCTCAAAGTGACTAACTCATTGTCTGACTCAAGACAAACATCTTACCTCATAGTCAATTTTAAATTTCTGTACCATCCCCAGCTCCATGAACATCCGGAGAGCAGCTGTGATCATGGCATCAACGTCAAGAGAAAAGTCATCAAAATGTATGTCATCAATGGCAAGTTCTGACACCAGAGGGATGTTGGCTGCCTGCAAAAGCAGAAGACATAAGTCAAGTCAAGTTCACTAGCTTTCCCAAACCCCACATCTTGCTCCCCTCCCCTGCTTATCAGAAGTGCCACATAAATCAGGTCTGACCTGCACTTACACCCTGATACAGCTAAATTCTAAGCTGTAAATGTCTTTTGTTTCTCAACTGCAAATGCCCCAAGCAAATGAAGGGCTGGGGGAAGAAAAGCAGGGAAGCTAATCTGAAGATAAAATATACACATTGAATTTGTTCTACAGAATTTAGAATACTGAGCTGTCTAGCTCACTACAACTCCATTACACAATATATGTTGATGCATATGATAGAACACTAAATGCAAGAAACATCTGGGCAGCCAGCAGCTGTGAATTTTAATTGCTGCTATTCAGAAGGAGAGGGAATACACCACACCATTTTGTCTTGTTTTATGTATCTTTAAACTCTGTTGCTGTACATGTGCTTTGTTGCACATGTGTTCTTTCTGTATATTCACAAGGATGGAAGGGATCAGACAACCCATTTCTGATGAAAAAAAAATATTAATGAAGTAGAGATATTTGAAAGGTTAGCATAACCTATGCTTCATTTAAGGAACAAATTTTGCAATATCGTTTAACTTCATTCTATATAAAGGGGCTATGGTGGTGCCGTGGTTAAAGAACATGACTGCTAACAGGAAGGTCAATGGTTTGAACCCACCAACCCCTCTGTGGGAGAAGGATGTGGTAGTCTGCACCTGTAAAGACTAAAAGCGTTGGGAATTCTATCAGGGCTGCTATGAGTTGTAATTGATTTGATGGCAGTGGGGATAGGTATTTTGATATTTTGTTCATTCTGTATAAACATGACAACTTAATTAAAATATTCATCATACATATGCAGGGATATCAAAACAGCCATGTTAGGCAGCTGTCAATCCATTATCCCACATAAACAAAGAGAAGAAAAAAGTCTGTGAAATCCTTTTATGTTGATTTGATTGGATCTATCATTTTTTCAGGTCACTCTTGGTAAAAAGTCATTTTTATGTTTTCAGGTGATCACGGGCCATTCTGGATTCATATTCCTAGTCTATTCACTGGATATAAATTACCCAGGGAGTAATTTATACCCTGGGACTACTTTAACTGAGCAATTAAATCCAACTCTGGTCACTCAAAGCTGTCCTGAAACCACATAATCAATTCTTCCTTCCCAATGTTATCTTCCTCCACAGGAGTTTATGTCTTTAGGCAAAAATCAGAACACTGGTTATTCTCCACAGTATGAAAGCACAATGAGAAAATATGTAAACTACAGAATGTTTGGTAAGGTGGAGGGTCAGAGAAAAAGAGGAAGACCCCTAATGAGATGGATTGGCCAAGTGGCAGCATTGATGGACTCAAACGTGGCAACAGTATTCAGGTTGGCCCAGGATCGGGCAGTGTTTCGTTCTGCTGTGCGTAAGGTCGCTATGACTTGGTACCAACTTGATGGCACCTAACAACAACAAACAGAATAATTTATCTTCTATATGAAGATGATTTTTTTCTCATTAAAAAAATCAATCAACTTATCTTTTTAGTAAATCATTTTAATATATTAACAGGCCACTTATATTATACCAGCTCCATTATATTAAAAACAAGACTTTGAAATTCAAGCAGAAATTATGTGTGTATGGACATGTGCGTGTGCTTACTCATTGCTCCTGAGCCCAAGCTAAGCACGTTAGTGTTTGTTTGCTTTTAAGTTTTTACTTCAAAAATATTTTAAATCAAAGTTATACAAGTACATAGTTTTAAGAGTAAACTAGTTTTACAAGGCTAGCTACACGTCACCACATACAAGCAGAAATCTGATATCAAAAAGTTCCCTCACTCAGAGATAACCACTTTTCATTCTTTTAGAGTTCTTTTGTATTTGTTTGTCATTTTATTTCTTGCTTATTTTGTTTAAAGAATTATGCATTGACTTTCACCATTAAAGCTGATGATTAAGCTGCGTCTGCCAATCTCTTCTGTCTCATACACCAACTCTTCTCACACATCAGTATAATTATATAATGACTTTGAATATAGTTTACATTATTACAATGATGTAACATATTCACAGCTAAGTCACACAATTTTCTGTGAATATTTTTCTTTTCCTTGACAGCATTTTGTATTCTCTGGAGCTAATAACTGTTCTAATTAATATCTGCTTAGTTTTCTATGTGTTTATAACTAAATTAACCCTCAAACTTTACGCCATTTATCTAAGTCTCCTCTTAAAGTAACATCTACAGCAATTTCATCTTCAAGAAATCTCCCCTGGAATTACTGAAGTTTCCCCATCTGTACTGTTCTTTCATGTCTGATATGTGACTATCAGACTAGGATGTTTCCCAGATCATAATTCTGGGAATGTCTTCATCTCTCGTTTGTGCCTCCTGTCCCACACCTTTCTTGATTTCCCCCCTCATTTTGGTGAGACACATCCTCCAAGAGCTTCCAAAGAAAAGGTGTGTGGTACAGAAACGCTTTTTGAGACTTTGCATGTTTGAAATGGTCTTTATATTATTATTGTCATATTTGATTGGTAATTGGTCTAGATATGGTTAGAAATAATTTCTTGGTTGGAAATCATTCCATTTGAATTTTGAAGGCATTGTTAGGTGTCTTCCAGCTTTTGGTATTACTTTTTGGAAGATAGGAGCTATTTTGAGTCCTGATCATTTCATCTTCCCTACAATGTTTGTAAGATTCTTTCTGCTGTGAGAATTCTGAAATGTCGTGAAAATTTGTCTAGGTGTGTATGCTTATTTTCATCACAAATCTGAGGTACTTTGTGAACCTTTTAGTCTGGAAAGTCATGTCCTTTAATTCTAGAAAACTTTAAAAATTCTAATGTCTTCTTTCCCTTTTTTTATTTTTCTGAAATTCCCATGATCTGATCTTTACACCCTTTTTCTTTTTCCTTCTGTTTTTCATTTCCATTTTTTCTTTAAAAAAAAAAAAGTTTTTATTGTGAATTGAGTGATAGTTTACATGGGTGAACATTGGTTTTACACTCATTGTTTCATTGCAATGATTGCAGTCCGTATGTTTCTTTTTTGGGGGGGAATGTGCACAAAAACACTCAGGAATATATAATCATTTAAACAACCCAAGGGCATATTCTGTAAGCCTGCCTCCTGGCTGCCAGTACACATCCTTTCTCTTTCCATGAGTCTGGAGTCCTCAGCTGCTCTAGCTCTCTATGTCCTGATCTCTGCCTCCATCTCTGGTGTCACTGCTTCTCTGGATACGGTCCCACATTCCTCTCATGCTCTTCTCCCTTGATGGTCATTTCCATTTCTTTTCTATTTTTTAGATTATATCCTCTTTTCTTATTTTGGGGATTTCAACTTCTAGTATACAATTTTCATTTCTAAGATTTCTTTTCTTGTCTGAATATGAATTAAATATTTTAAAAAATCAAAATGAAAACCAGACTTACTGGTAAGAAAGAAATTGGAGGGAGCCTAGATTATGGCCCTCAATCACCCTTCAGGTCTGGAAACTGAATTCCCCACTATGGCTCAATTTTCAGTCAAACAATAGATAGGAATATAGATAGTTAAGTGTATAGAGGGACAACAACACGAGTGAGGCATGCACACCAAATGGTCAACCGTTCAAGATCTAAAGGGCAGTAGTTACCTAAGGACAGAATCCAGAAGGGTTTGGAAAGAAGGCAGAATGGCAACACAGGATGGGGTAACTGTTGTTACATGGAGGGGATTGCAATCACTGAGATGAAGCAAATCATTGCAATCATATGATTTGTTGAATGCAAAACTGATGATCTGCTCTGTAAACTTTCATGCAAATCACAATAATAAGTTAAAAAAGTGAATTAATTAGGTAAAAGTTATTTTTAATAACATGTGATTTATTTTATGGATGCTATTATCCTCGCTTACCTCTTTGAAGATGTTAATGACAGTTCTACATGACATTTAATTCAGTCCCTTCACACTGTCTTAGTCTCTTGTCTTCTGTGTTACAGATTTCTCTCCTATCTAGTCATATTTGTTGTCTGCTCCTGTTTATATGTGGGGACTCTAATAGCATCTACTAAAAGCTCTGAGGGGCTCTTCTGTAGTGGAGTCTGGCTGACCTGTTTCTTTGAAGAAGTCATCAAATGCCAAATGCTCTTCAGCTACTCAAATGCCCCACAGGAGAATCTTTTATCTGAAGCTTAAGTCCTGAGGTGGCGCTGTATGATAAACGTCAGTTTGAACTGCAATGTTGGCACTTCAAAATCACCAGCTGCTCCTCAGAAACCCTATACAGGGTTGTTGTGAGATGGAACAGACTTAACAGCATTTAACAACAACAAGGCAAAAGAAGGTGAGAGGAGGATCTTAGCACTGGTATGTAACTCTTCATTCAACTCCCCTGTACTTTCATCTGCTGTAGAGCATGAAATCCACAGGGTTTTTTTGCCCATGAAGGACTCCAACAAGGCAGAGTTGAATTCTATCTTGTGCCTAGGTTAAAGTGATCAGATGCCATTTTTCCCCGAGAACCTCATACACCTCTCACAGCTGAACTGCCAGAGTTAGAAACGGTAGATTTAAAAGTGGGTTCTGGAGTCACTTCGTTCCCAGTGGCATTCCTAGACATATCCATTAATGGTGGCCTGGTTGTGACGTCATGCCCCAAGAACTTCAGGCTGTAAACTTTCCCACCCTGCTTTCTGTAAGCCTGGCATGCGTATGTGATGACTGGCTGCTGCTGTCCATCGTCGTTGTGGGAAAAGATTGCTTGGTTCCCTGTGCCCTATATAAGGTCATCACATGGAGACAGAACTTTGGAAACTCACCATGACATCTATGATTTATTTCCCTCACCCAGGTGATCCATGTTTGTCTTTGTCTTGTGTTTACTTTATTTGACTAAAATAATTTGTATAATATTTATATCTTTGAAGATGGGGGTCTCTTTTCTCCCCTAAAACAAACCCAGAGACACTCTAGTATATCCTCCTC